ATGGAAGGAAACGGTAAGGCGATCCCTAGGGATAATTTTGTTTCGCCTGGGCCTTCGCACTCAGGCTCGAGCATATCATCGGAGATAGATGTCTGGGTCAAGACATTAGTTAAAATAGGGGCTTTCCGCTCGCTCCTGGTTGGTCCGTCATTCTATCGTCTCATTGAACGCCCTCTCGTGCGAATGTGGAACCTTGCGGCATCGTATGGTCCGGAAAGGTCTATACTGCAGTTAAATGGGTTGGTGATCGATTTCCAGGTCTCGATGACCTCCCTGGACAGTTTTCTGTCAGCTCGGCCTACCACTCGGGCAACATCATTTTCTAGACTGTGCATGGCGATGTGCGAGAGTACATCTTTTCGCCTTACGGCTAACATATGCTCGTGCATGCTTTTTCACCGCATCCGGACACACTGCAGCACGGAGACCTAGAAGCTACGCAAATATCTATGGTGCATTTTCCTCGCCAATGGATACCCACGCAGCTTCGGAAACAAATCACTGCATTAAAGACACACTAAGAACGAGGAGGAGCGAAATAAAATATTAGAAACCTTTCGTGTCCCACACTACATGAAGAACGGCTCCGAGGCAATTAAGCGCGTGCCCAAACCACTTAATGTGGGCGTGGGACACCGACCAGAAGCTACTATCCGTCGCTCAGTAATGCAATCAAAATGTAGACTAGCACCGGCAAATAGATCAGGTATCCTTTACTGCGTCAGCTGTCTACACTGCCAGGTCAACTACTGCGGCATGACGGATAAATTACTGGGAACCCGAATGCCCCTCGTGTGCATTGCGGCGGTGGCTGTGGGACCAAAATCATAATCGGGTGGGCGCATCTACCGTCACTCCCATTGCGGAGCAATTTCGCTTGTTAAGGCTCGCTGATGAGTCGAAGATACGCGTCGATAGTATGATCTGCAACTGGCTCACCCTGTTAGGATATTAGCCGGACCAATGCTAGCAACGTTTGGAGGCAATTGCTCCGCGGAAATACACGTGTTGAAATGTGCGTCACACATTGTTGTAACATCCAAGGGA